CCAGCAGCCTCTCCAAACTTCATCTGTCGTCCCGATGCTATTTAAAGTCCACCAGCGCCTGTACTGCCGTGTGTCGGTGCACGCGCGTGTGTGTGTGCACAGGTAGAACATGCCATCATTTGCTTTAGTGTCAGCAGCACCTGCCAGCTCTGACACGCACGAGCTTGTGGCATAACGGGGAATTGCAAAGGAAAGAAAGCCTTGGGTGCTGGTATGCAGCCTCGGCAGCCACGTCTGCCCCTATCAATTATTAATTGATTATTATTTACTGAAAAAAAAAAGCCTGGCGTTTGGAGGAGATTGGTGCAGAGCGTGCGTTCTGTGGCGTCCTCACATTCAGTGCGCGCGGGTCTGCGGGCTGAGATTAAAGAGCAGCCACTGAGCAGATGCTGCTCTCAAACAGAGAGGCTAATAGATTTATGCCTTCTCCCTTTTCTTTTTTTGATTTACTGTGGAAGAGAACTGCACCAACGCTGGTGGAAGTCCCGCGGTGCTCTTTGCTCAAGTTGCGGATGTGTGTTGGTAAACTGGGACAAATGCGTTTGGAGATGAGTCCCCACAAAAAAGCAAATACTCAATTCCTGACAGTTATCCCTCCTCAGCTCCAGTTACATTAACCTCACACAGCAGCAGATCTTTCTTCTGTTAATTACGTTTATTACCTGATTTATTATGAATGAGTGTTGTGCTGAGTAATTGGTATGATCTGTACCTGGATTTCATGAAATTTCTCCATATATATATACATACATATTCATTTTAGCATGATCTTTTGTTTCGAGCACACTGGGTCGAGTAAATTAGCTTTCATTGGCCTTTTTTTCTGTGTTTTTTACTGCGAGCACAGGAACTGGCGCATGTCTCACTCTTTTTTTTGCAGTCAGGGCTTTTATACTTGGGCAATTGGTAAATGGAGACTTTTTCTTTCTTTCTTTTTTTTTTTTTAGCAGATTTACTTCAAATGGCACCAGTGTGGTGGTACAGATGTGGATTTTTAGCACCTTGGTCGTACCTGATGTGCATTTGACTGGCACACTTAATACTGACTCATTCAGAAGTTTACATATAACATTCATTTATTTCTTAGCGATTTAGAGGGACTTTTATTTTTTTTGTAAAAGGGCAGGTGTGTTTCCAAATTGTACATTCTGTACAACTTTGTTGTGGTTATGGATACACAGTAAACGACAACTAAATCCATTCAACTACTATATTCACAACATTTGTCCGGGTTCCACGACAAAATGCACAGCAGAAGGAACTTTTGCACGTCCAAAAGTGAGCGCCTTCTGCAGCTCAGCCTGCTGCTGACCGGATCCTGGTGAGAGGACAAGAGGATTAGCAGTGTTTTTGTTTGGGTTCTGGACCCTGTCAGGGAACCAACTGTCCTTCTGGTTGAAGTGCTACCTGCTGGCTATCATGCCAGGTGACTGCATTTGGTACACTGACTTGCAATCTGTGTACATAGAATAAACGTAAACTGTCACATAGAATTATAAGTATATAATATATAATTACAGGATTTTCTTTTAGACTTTGTTAACTCTAAATTTTGAATGTCAATCTTCATTTTGGAAAGAAGGCAGTGAATGATTCATTCAGTGGGTGTAGTGGGTTATTATATTCCTAGATTTACATGAAATACAACATTATTATTTCAAAATAAGATTAGGAAATATGTTGGTATGGTGTCACAAATCCTGATATTTCTATCAAGTTAAACAGATTATTTAAATGTAATTCATATGAATTGTTAGATTAACTAATCTAAATTGTAGTTTACAGTGTACAACGCAAAACCTAACTTTGAATCCCCCGCATCTGAAAAAATAACAAAGCCTTTTTTCTCAGATTTAAGATTATCCACATAAAAAATTCAAGTGGAATTATGCTTATTTAAAAATATACCAACCACTGGGATGGATTTAGTATGGAAAGCGATGCAGGGCTTTGGAACCGGGACAGTCTTGTCTATCTCAACCCCTCCGGCAGAGGATCCACACCAGAACCAGTCCTGGTTGGCGTTATTTGCTGTTTAACACCGCTGGCTGTGTATTCAGACGCCACACGGCAGAGGAGCCCCGGACTGGAGACACTTTATGGGACACTCAAGACTTCAGGACTGGAAAAAGCTTGGTGTTCAGGACTGGTTTGCTCGTCTTATGAGGTAGCAAAAGAAAATATTCAGAGCAGCTGCTTCAAAACGAAGTAAAAAAAAAGAATGAACAGTCTTGAATGGTAAGCAATTGTTACAGCAGCTGGGGATCAACCAATGGGCACATCAGAAAACCCTGACCAGTACCATCCTCTGTTTCTCCAATGGGACACATAGAAGTTTCCATAAGGACGCCAATGTCCATCCGCCCAGCCATTTGCTCTGACCGCCTAATCCCAGCCAGGTCTCAGGGGGTTGGAGCCCAGCCCAGCTCCCATTGGCTCAGAGGCAGGTGCCACCGCACACAGAAGGCCGGTCCACCACGGGGCAGGTCCGCAAGACCTGAAGGCACATTTCTCCAGCACATTTGTGGCTGCGCTGTGCCCACAGTCCTTCAAAGATACGGTCCAGTTCAAATCAATCAGAGGACCACTCAGTCTGACACAATCAGAACCGAATCCAACCAATGGAATTCAAAGTTCTTACATATAAAGCCATCAAACATGTTAACCAAAGACAGAAAAACCAGCAGGCTGCCCTAAACGTACATGCAGACCCAGTCCCCATATCCTTTATGGATACCCCCCATATCTCCCCTTCAACTGGAGGAAATCTCCACCAGAAGCAGAAAACACCGCCATCTGCCCAAACCAAGCGGGGCTGGACAGGGAGAAGCAAAGAAGAGACAGAGCCCCACAACACAGGGCAGCCTTTTCCACCGAAAAAGAAACAACCCCAAGTAGAAAAAGTGTCATAGGAGGTCTCCAGTCTCAGTAAGTGTGCGACTCTTTGTGGGCCACTTTCACTGAAGCTGATATATGTTAACGCTTAGCTAACATTCCAGGATCAAAAGTAGTTTCTTATGTTAAGCTTGAATAAAAGGATTGATCATATATCTATATATGATATGTTTATGTGTAAATTGATAAAATACAGGTTTTCAAGCTGAAAGTACATTAATTCAAATATTATTAACATATTTTTTTGCCATCTGGAGAAGTTGTAATGACATTTTGACGGAAATCAACCAATTCAAATGCAAAAGTCTTTGTCTTAACAAATATGCTGAATCAAACTGGACAGTACCAACAACCCAAAGTCTCAACTCGTTTGTTTTCTCTTCTTGCCCCCCTCTCTAGTAAAAGGCCCACACGATATGATCCTAACAAAATGTTCCTTATTTGGCCTTCTTCTCTGTGGACGTAGCGTTTAACACATCGGGCCATTTCTCAGCCAACAAAACCACCCTGCTCCTCAAAGCCTCGGGGCCTCCTCCCACCTGCCCAGGTACTCCAGTAAAGTCCTGCTCCTCAAAAGTCCTGGCTGTCCCAGTCCAGCCAGAGCAGGGGTCCCCCTCTCTGCCTTTGAGAAGCTCTTGACCTCTTCTGTTAATACACCCATCACTTACTTCCCTTTCACTTTGTCATGGCCTCAAACCCTCCCCCCCTTTTTTTTCTTCTGCCGCAGCTGCATCACAAACTGCACCTAACCCAACGAAAAAAGAAAAAAGAACCTGCCCTCTCCTTCCAGCAGACTCCTGTCAAAATGATCTGTTAAAATGTTCTAAAAATGTGCTCAGTATTTAGTGGTATCCTTGTTAGTTGCGTTGGGTGAAAGCTAAACACACCAGGACAGCCACTGGCTGCTTTCTGCTGGGATGCTGCTGGTTTGCTGTGCTCTGCTAGAGGGTTGATGCCATTTCACAACGGACACACTCTTCTGTGCTTGTTCTCACCCAAACCTTTGATTAGCTTAGTCTGCGCCTCACTGTGCTTCTCAGTATTTTCCTCCAGTTTCCTTTATCCTGCCACCGAGTCAGTTTTCCAACAAATGCAGCCGGTGTGCGTGTTAAAAAAACAGTAAGAACGGCCAACAGGGTCAACACGGAGGGGACACACAATGGTATTAATGAGAATGTTTTTGGGAATTAATAAAGAAATCTGATGTCAGGAAATTTTGTAGGTCGAGTCCTTTGATTTTCTTCTAGATGTATTTAGTACTATGTGAACACACACAGGTACGTTGTCTTAAAGTTCCTTTTAATATTAAATTTATTTATCAGTGTTTCCACTCTAGAGACTGTAAGTGGTCAGAGAGAAATGTCCTCTTTGGGTCTCACTGACTGCAGCAACGCCACCATTCTGCATCTCCTCTCATCTGAACGCGGCTTCTTTTCTTCAAAGACAGATTTTGTAGGAGCAAAAAGCATCCCGTATGCATGCATACGTTTCATATGCAGAAAGAGAAGGAAAATAAAGAAACCTGAACGCCAATCACACGAGTGCTCAAAGGGTGCGCGCGTGAGGACGGAGGTGACTTTGAGACTGTTGCAGTCGGTGTGTCCTGTGCCAACACTGATGGAGCGGGCAGAGGCTGACCGCTGCTGCGGAGGCTGACCGCTGGACGTGGATCCTGTGTTTTAGGATGGTCAGGCATTAGGGGAAGGCAGCTGGACAGACACGGTCTGTGTCGGGGGGGGG